GAGATTTTGAAGGTACAAGCAATTACTTACACATCGTCTGGCTTTCGGGAAATGTTATGGGATCAAGACGTAATCATAGATATTACGATATCAAATGGATGAATACATGGCGTATCTATACCTGAGAACTGATACTTTTCTCATTGTTTTGCCAAAAAACTTGCAAATTTATGAGTAGCATAGAGTCACTCTGCTCAGTAGGAAAATCTAACACTTTCTTTTTAGTCCTTTACTCCTTTTGATCCGTTAAAGTGTTGTAAATGCAATTATGTTTTTCTAATTGATTATATGTTAAGATGATTGTCAACGCTCTATTGGAAAAAAATATGTTGCTACATATAACATCATTGAATCATATGTAAACGACTTTGTTTGATACTTACACGCAGTTACACTAAGATGTTTTAAATTGGCGCTCTTTATCCCACTCATGCTATCAAAGAACATTCCAACTCCAAAGTGCATAGCAATTTCCGAATGTTCTTTAGACGTTTTATGATTCACTTTTTTTACCCGGATGGTCGGAGCCGACAAATGTGAAATATGTTCACTTTGATGAGGCATAATGATGTAGGATCAAGCATATTACCGTATTTATCCATTACAGTCCATTATCCTTTAATACATCAATCCAGGAAATCATTTCGTCGCTATACGGATGAGTATATGAATGAATGCGTGAATGCATGAATGAATAAATCATTGGATTTCGAGCATTCGGTTACGCTGTACTTATGCAAAGCAATTCCCTCTTCTAACATTTTTTTTCACTTTTGTAATTTTCAGTAAACATGGTTCATTACAAACTGACCTACTTCGACGGACGCGGTCTAGGCGAATGTGCACGACAAGTAAGTCTACAATTACCAATCAAGATTCCCTACAATAAGCAATTTTAGGAGCTTAGCGAAATTTATGTGCAGTTAATGAGTAATTTCTAGTTATTCGCTTTGGCTGACCAGAAATATGAAGATATTCGTGTCACTCATGAGACTTTCCCAGCGCTGAAACCTAGTAAGCGTTACAGCCCAAAGCGTAACTATTGGCTCAGTTACACACTTTATCTATAATAGAGCTGCCATTTGGACAATTACCTTTGCTTGATGAGGATGGAAAAGAACTGGCACAGTCAAACGCTATTAATCGCTATCTTGCCAAAAAGTTTGGTAGGCCTCATGTCTCATATCATTTTTGCCAATTTCTTTACTCACATAAATATGAACTTGTTCAGGATTCGCGGGCAAAACGCCATTTGAAGAGGCGCTTGTAGACTCACTGGCGGACCAGTACTCTGACTATCGCATCGAAATTAAGCCATTTGTCTATACTGCTTATGGGTTTGAAAAAAAAGGAGATCTTGTAAGATTTGCGCCTATCAGCTTATAATACAACTAATCCTGAGTCTCAATATTTCTCGCTCATCAGTAGTGTTTAGGAAACATTGAAAAAGGAAGTTATGCTACCAGCACGTGACAAATT